AAATAAGTAAACCATAACTGGAGTTCCAGATTAAGAAGGAGGATGCTGGCACAAAAAAATTAAGAAAAACGGTACTTGAATCAAATAATATTTTCTTTTAGTGGTAGAAGTATAGAAAAGAAAAATGATATTTAATTTACTTGTTGGGACAATTGGACATTTTGGAAAAGGAAAAGTCAACATCAACCAGTATCTGAAAACACCATTTAGTCTTGCATAGGCAAAAAATGACCCATCAGTGTTATGTGTTGGAGGGTGTGATACTTTAATAGGAAATAATCACAAGGCTAATACTTAACAGGAGTGGATATTAGCACAATGGGCCTAAAATGGTTGGTTTAGAAATACTTGGGGTTTTGTTTTCTTTTGCATGCTTTGAACAAGTCAAACAAGGCATTTACTAACCTGTAAAAATAATGAAAACATGAGTTTTTAAAAATCATTTTATTAGGGGCTCTTACAACTCTTTTCACAATCCGTACATACATCATTTGCGTCCAGAACATTCGTATATATGTTGCCATCATCATTCTCAAAACACTTGCTTTCTACTTGAACCTTTGGTATCAGCTTCTCATTTTTCTCCTCCCTCCCTCCCTACTTCCCCTCCCCCTGAATCCTTGATAATTTATAAACAAGGGTTTTAAATGCGTCTTTGCCCTAATTCTATATTAATAAGCCAAGTGTGGAGTGTGTCAAGGAATGGAGCCATTGGGAATGTATAGACGTAAGTTAATGGGTTAAAAACCTAGAACAAATAAAAGGCGGAGTGATTCCTGTTAGAGTCATCATACTTGATTTGTGATAAAGGAGATGCTATGTTCTAAGTAGGGCTTGCTCAAAACAATTTGGTCTCAATGCCTCCCCATTCCTTGTTGTCTCCTTGTAATCCTTCTCTTAGGAGTTATGTTGTCAATTGCCCATGGACGTTCTGTTATATTACAGCTGTGTGGTTTGGCAGACTAGAGTTTCAACACCAGACCTGCTGTTAACTGGTTGTGAGACTTCTGCCAAGAGACTTGCGCATTATTACCCTCAGCTTCTCCTTTGTGCAATGATAAATACTTTAAGTCTCCAAGAGATACAGCAGGATAATGACAAAAATCCTTTCTGCCTTGCGCCTCTAGATCCATAAATGGAAGCTCCTAGTAATTCCCTCTGGAAATGTGTTCTGATTTGTCTGTTTGTCTCCAGAAGGGTCTTTGAGTAGGTCTTAGTGGTGCTAGATCAATCTTTCAGATACAGAGACTGACTAGCTGGACCCTTGACTATGTGCTTCAATGTAACTGAGTCCATCCTCACATGACCCTCTCTGCCTGTGTCTGTGATCAGTATAACTGATGGTGAGGACTTGTGGTAGTTATATAATTTCATGCCAACTTGCAGTATAGGGGTGCAGTCTAGCCTGTCAATCAGGTCATGGCCTGGTGGTGCCTCCTTGTGCGTGTGACCTCCTCTTAAGGAGGGTCCTGGCAATCTCCCCTCCCCTCTCTCTGCCTTCATCTTTCTACTGGTGAGCCATGTGGAGACCTGCATACACCCTACAATGCTTCTACTGCCATTGGATCCCTAAAACTTTGTACCCACCAGCCTGTGATATCCCTGCATTCTGTACCATTGCATATGGTTGCGTGAGTCTGGAGAGGGACTTATGGACTAGTATTGGACTTATGGACTTGATTTGGACTGGGCTGGGGTGTTGTCCTACTATATAACTATTTCTTGATATAAAGCTCTCTCTTTCTCAATTCTGTGAATAGGTTCCAGTACTGTGTCTGAGCAACAGAGGTACTCAAAGATTTCATAATCTCCCTCTCTCACAGCATTCCGCAGGCAGGCAGGTAATGCAAGTAAGTGAAGCCAAACAAAGGTAAGACAATGGAGCAGGGAACTCTGATGACCTGAAATATACAACTAGTCAATATGCATAGAATTTTCTAATTAAAAAACAAAACAAAACAACCCTCCCACAGAATGTCATCTGCCATGACCCGTTTACTCATGTGGCTTTGGAAATGCTCCATCAGTGCTTTCAAACCATTAGTGATGTGAAGCTGGACATGGCGTGGAGGCAGGAATGAGCCATGGGGAAACTGGAATGTGGAGGTGAGAGAAACTCAAAACAGACTGTCCAAAACGAAATTGGCCACCCAGTCCTAATGAAGCTGCACACAAAGGGTGGGGCAGAGGGAAAGAGATCGTATCAGTGAGCTTTGCAAGGCCTTCTGAAGGCATAGTCAGGCTGTCTTTGACTTCCCCCACAGCTCCAAAGCAGAGCCGACTGATCCAGGCAAATAACACCCCAGGCGACATTGGGCCCCATACTTCCTCTAGCCTCTTGGAGACAGTGGAATGAAGTGCCACTTTAGCTCCTCCACGAGCTCTGCAAAGTGCCAGCCTCTTTCTCTCTAGATGCAGCACCCTGCAAATGAAGTTTGGACTTCTCAACATAAGATTTCAACGAAAAAGAGGCTTAGAGGAGTAAGGAATTTGCAAAGCTTACACACTGGAAGCAGGTCAGGCAGCCAGTGATGCTGGAAGAAACTTGGGATTTTCCCCAGAGGGCCAAAGCCCCTCTTTGAAGCATCCCACTTCCCACTTCCAGCCCATGCTTTAGAAAACCCCAGCAAGATTATTTGAAAGCTAGCTGTTAGAATAAAACTTGTGGCGCACTGTGAGCAGCGCACAATCAGGCAGCATCCTACCACCAACATTAACAGTAACCCTTTGTGCAGAGGGACCTAGTTGTGGTGAAGAGAAGGAATATGTTTGGGGAAGGAAGGGCTGCGTATTCTTCCACTGGCTGAGATAAATCAGACACCCAAACTGTCTCTAGGGAATCCATTAGGAGGATAGAGCTACCATCTTGAAACAGCCTTCCAACTGGAAGCTCTGGTGGAGTGCCACTGCCTCTCATTCATTGAGGTGGGCTGATGGTGCTGAGAGAGGTATATTTTACATATTGGAAACCGACACCTGGTGGGGTGTGGGTAAGGTGAACGTAAAATCAACAGGGCCATTAGGGACTCAAACTGATGGCAGCATGAGCTGTTGGGGATCTCAGAAGTCATTTTCTTATGTGTAAATGATGATGTCTTCTGAGAGGGGCTGAAGGTGATCCTCTATCCTGTCCATCTCTCAGACCCTCAAGAGAATACTTGAGACCCCTTTCTGTGCAGGCTAGGCAGAGCTTTCTAACTGCGATGCAGAGAAGGCTTTGTTCAAAGCCCTGGCCTTGCTAAACGAAGGATAGCTCTCCCTCTGACTGGCAACATGACCTTGAGTAAGTTTCCCTTCCCTAGTTAAATCTGTAAAAGGTGAAGTGGGATCCTTCTAACCCTACAATCCCTTCATGTTCTAGCCAATAGCTGAGATTAGGGGTGGGGAACATCCTGTTCTTGGGCCATATATACCATAAACTAAACTCACTGCCATCAAGTTGATACTAACTCATAGCAACCCTATAGGACAAGGTAGAATTGCCCTCATGAGTTTGCAAGACTATAACTTTGCAGCACTAGAAAACCCTGCCTTTGTTCCTCTAAGTGGCTAGTGGTTTCAAACTTTGGACCTTGCGGTTAGCAACCCAATGTATAACCACTATGCATCAGAGTGCCTTGGGCTATATACAACATGTAAAACCATCAATTTCAGCTAACATCACATGTCTCACCAGAGAAGCAGTTCCAACCCTCACATTAAACCCCCAAACAAACCCAGTGCTATCAAGTCAGTGCCAACTCTAATGATTCCATAGGACAGGGTAGACCTGCTCCTGTAAGTTTCCGAGACCATAGTGCTTTATGGGACTAGAAATGCCTGTCTTTCTTCTGAGGAGTGACTGGTGGTTTTGAACTGCTCACCTTGCCATTCGCAGCCTAGTGGGTAACACCAGCAGGGATCCATCACATTAGGGGTGAATTGATTAAATCTTTGACCAGCATGGCCTGTACATGATTTCTACATATTACAATGGCTCTTGGCAGAAAAAAAAGGTTCCCAATCCTTGGTCTCGATGCTCACAACCAGGGTCTAACTCATCAGTGACTCCAGGCCCGAAACCCCGGGGAAAGATGTATATTTCTACTGAACTTTGGAGGGTGTCTTGGTAACTTTCCCCAGAGGCTTACACTCTCAATGACATTGAGCTATGTTGTGTTCATGCATCCTTGATGTTCCAAAACAGTCTGGATTGTAGGTCTAGTGATTTTCCTTGGACAGATCAGAAAGCCCAGAGTTAAAGGGGTCAAGTGGCTCTCCCACTAAATGACAGCCTTGGGGCTGGAGTCAGTACTGGGTAAGTTAAAGCCTGAGACCGTTCCCATTTGGCATTAGCCACATACAAGCTTTTGTCCAGTGAGAAGGAAGGATAGTAATAGGCACTGGAAGTCTCTTCCTTGTGCAGAAGAAAGAAGCCATGTTAAGAAAGCCCAGCCTAGGGACCATTCCCCTCAAAACCGCAGTGGGCAAGGGGCAGAGAAAGTTTTGTGAATTGGGTCAATGGATGGATTAGGGAAGCCTGCAATCTCCATGTCCAGCCCTTCACGGCACCTCACGTGAGTAGAGGTGCTCTAGGTGTTGGGAATTTTTTCTTCTTGAAACAGTACTTGGGTTTCAGTAAAACAAGTTGAGCTCAGTTTACCATTTTCATGCCTGTGACATGAGGCATCCAGTTCTCATGTTCGCCCAGCATTCTACCTCTCCCCTCCCAGTGCCTTTCCACACTTCATTGACCCATTTCCCCGGTTAGGACACTGAAGATGGGGTTGAGCATGCAGAGACTTCTGTCAAACAGAGTTTCTGTGCTGGGCGCACTAGTCCTACCCCAAGCTCACTTGCATTCCGCCTGCTGCTCGCTGCAGAGCCAGGGAATGGGAAGGGAAATGAGGGACAAGTGTTTTCAGCTATGTCCGCTCAGCCAGCTGGCTACCTTCCACACTAGGGGAGTCCTGTTTACAGTACCCAGCAGATGGGAATGGCAGGGCAACATGGGGTCTTACCTGCAGCGGTGGTGATGCCTAGGAGCCTGCAGGTATATTCCAAGCCAGTCCAGAATGCCTGGAGCTTCATGGTGCTGGTGTAGCAAAGGCAGAGTCCCAATAGGTCAGGTGGCAGAGTCTCCAACCTGGGATGCTCCTGGACAACTGTCTGCAGGCAAAAGCCTATAGCTGCCGACTCTAGAGCCGTGAGGCCCAGGACTTTCCCTTCTTTAATGGGTCATGTCCACTGCAATCTCGCTGAGGTGTAAATAGGAGTCACCTTCCTGGCCTTACTACAATGCCCTTGCCAGGCACGTAGCTTAATCATTACCTGGAAATAAGGCCCCCTCTGCTCTGTGCAGCCCTCAGCATTGAGCACTGCCTGAGATCAGGCAGGCTAGGGCTGGGTTGGGGCAGCTCAAGCAAGCAGGGCATTAACTATTTCTGGCAAGGAAGAGAATGCTGAGGAAGGATCTAAGGGCACTGCCTCACTTGACAGTACACTGGAAAAATCTCACCTGGATCTCTCTGAGGAGAGTTTGTTTTAGAGGTGATGGGGTGCAAGAAGGTCTGTTTATATGTGTTGTGGATAGAGAAGGATGTGTCTTTAAATTACCCTTAATAGCAATTTTTGAAATGAATTCCAAGCTTCATAATTCTGCTTAGAGGTTGCTTAGAATGTGTTGCCAATCTATGGAAGACTTGGACTCAGACCAGAACACAGCCCAGGAGCCAACACAAATGGACTTTGCTTCATCCTCTGCATATGATAGGTCAGGAGGGTGTGGCTATTATGATTCTTTATGAAGGGAGTTGTATACCAATAATTAACTGGATGACCTTGAGGAACTCCAGAGAGATCTGTAAGCTGTACTTAGTAACTTTTGCAGAATATAAATGAGAATGTTTGGCTGGATTGCTGGTTCTTAAAATAGATTAAGTGGAGCTGAGCCAGCAAAGCTCAGTCTTGAAGATTAAATAATGGTGAATTTTTACTAATTCTTATTTTAATAATAGACTTATCAAATTTTAGATTCCTTCCGAGATATTTTTCTGAAGTCTATTGCTCCTTTGTTCAAGTAAGGAAACCTGGTGGTGCTGTGAGCTAGGTGTTGGCTTACTAACCACAAGGTTGGCAGTTCAAAACTACTAGCTGCTCCATGGGAGCAAGATGATGATTTTTGTTCTTAAGATTTATTGACCCAGAACCTCTATGTAGGTTTGGTATGAGTCAGAATGAACTTGATGATGGTAGTCTTTGTTTTGGGAGTGGGTTTTACTTATATGGAATATATCCTCCTCTCCACCCCCCTTGACCCCCACCCCCCAACCTCCACACACAGAACACCAAAGCAAACATACAAACTAGGGGTCGGGGGACTCCTTGTAGTGATGAAAAACCTAACTGTTCATTTTTTTCTTTGTTGAAAATACAAATATACTCATAATTAATAGATTTTTCTCTATTACTTTTATTCGATCAGAATTTAATGACAATCCCTAAAGGCTACCATTTTTAAAACGTTTTTAATTTCTCTCCATGAACAAGTTTTAAACTTCTATACTGATGTGTTTTTTAAGAACAAGTTTTAAAAATGGATGAATTGGCATATTATTTCCTAGTAGGATAAGTGAAAAAGCATTTCCACAAAACACAGGAATCTTTCTCAAACAAAAATATCAAAACACATAATTCTTGCTTTTAGACATATCCTCCATCTAAATCTATACACTTCAGAAGATGGTATTTCTATCGCTCTAACCCTTCCTCAAAGGATTCTGCATTCTTTTATTTACACCATATCAAAACGGTAGGTGGCATTGTCAAGGGACTCAAATAATACTCCTTTTGAATGTTCTTTGAATTTTGGGAACAGAAAGATGTCTGAATGGGGCAAGGTCAGGGATACAGGGTGAATGAGATAAGGCTTCCCAACAAAATTATTGTAGGGTGGTCTTTGCTACCCTTGAACAATGAGTAGAGAGAGGCATTTTGTGATGGAAAAAAAAATCTTTGGTCCGATTTTACTAATGCTTTACTCACTTATGCAATTTTCATTTTTCAAAGACCTTCTTCATAAGCTCTGTGATTATCCTGCGTCTTTCAAAGCAATCTACCAAGACTCCTCTTTGGCATCCCCAAGAGAATCATTAACTCTTTTGAGTTGATCTCTATCTTGAACTTAGCTGGCTCAAAAGATCTCCTTAGAAGTCACTATTTCTTGGACCTTCCTCTCTAGATCATATTGGTAAATCTGATATTTTTCTCCTGTTATAATTCATTGAATAAAATTGTCTTCATTAGCTTTACACTTTCTGATGTGAAAATCAGCTCTTTGGGCTACCTGATCTTTACGTAACACATTTGACATCCTGGAGCCAAAAGCTTGCTGAGGCCAAAGACAGACAGTCTCTTACAATTGAAAATGCCAAATCGTGTGAAACCCTAGCTTTGGTACGTGTCACACCAGGCGATGGCAATCCCACAGCCCTCTTTCACCAGGTTCTGGGTTTCAGCCACTGGTTACTATTTGTCAAGGTTGGTGGTCTTCACTCTCTTGGTTCCTCTTCCCAACTTGTCTTAAAATGTTTGCTTCATGTAAAACCTGATGTTTTATGTGGGGCAACATATCCACAAAATTGTTACAAAGAGTCAATGATTTGGGAAGATATCCACTTGGGTTTTGTTAAAAAATTTATATTAATACTGACTTTGAAATGTTTTTTTTCCCCTCCTAGCATATAAGTACCCTTTTTTTTGTAGGCACCCTAATGAATGTATGTGTATTACTGAGAGGACATGTACACAGCCATCGATGGATCAGAGTCATGTTTAAACACATTTTGTTTGGAATGAATCTGTGCATTATGAGCCTGGGCACCTATGAAACTATAGTTGACACCTACAACAGTCTTTCTTTCCTCCTTTGAAAGAGCAGCTAATTTTGCTTGCTTCTCATAATGCTCATGGGCTCAGAAGAGGACACTTTACACCCCTTTATGGGTAGGAGGTTGTTGAGTCCAATGGTCATAGTCATGATCTTCCCGTTCTTGGGTTTAGGAATGAGCATATGGCCCAATTCTAGTCATCTACCAGGGAAGAACACGTGCTGATGCACTTCTGGGCAAGTATTCCTCACTCGCTTACAGACCACCCTCCTCTCTCTGGACACTGCCGTGTTAGGATGGGCAGGTGTCTTGTGACAAGGAACATGGAGGTAAAGGGTTGGATGTTTGTATAGAGGCCGGCGTGTGAGATATAATATAGCACTGGCATCTGATAGTTTGATAGAGCTCCTGAACTTAGCAACACTGTCAACCCTAACAGCTTAGTTGTGACCAAAGACGGTTTCCTGTAGTTAACCTGGCTGCCTTGGGGAAGGTGGCTTTGTTAATCTGGTTGCCAGAGCACTCAGCTTTACTTGCTCTGTGGGCTGGCAAGACCCACATGCTCTGGTTCCTGTTTCTTCTACTGCAGCTCCTCTGTCGCTCCTCTGGTGTCACAGCTGGGATCTTCTGATGTCAATGCTCAGAGGCCCTGAGTCTGAAGGATGTGCTCCACTCCTGGCTGTTCTCTTTTGCTGGTAGTCAAATCCCCTTTTCTGATTCTGAGATGCCTCGTTTTCAACTCAGCAGGATGGCGATCACAATGAATTCTCCTAACAACCACTCGTAACTGAATCCTCTGAGGCTCTTCCCTGACCTCCTTAGCCAGCCTACAAGAAAATGAAGGTCATTTGGTGGGAGTAACAAAGGCTATAACTAGAAGAGCCCTATTCAATAATTCACTATATTGCTCTTGGGTTTCCATCTACAACTAAAAGTACTTGGCTTAGCATAATATATTATGCCTGAACTGAGTGCTTACCACAGATTTTCCCTCAGGAAATGCCTGTACTCCTGGCTCAGGACGTTAGAGATTGAGAACCAGAGAGACTGGGTATCCTTCAAGTCTGTGATCCCCCTTATTCACTGAGGTTGCCCTCCTGAGAGGAGTTGAAGGGAGAGTTCTGAGGGGATAGTGGAAGGAAAGTAGGGCCTATTGCAAAAGTAAAACATAGAGAAACTTTAGAGAAGGCCCCGCTGTGAAAAACTGCACAGAAGAGCCTGGATAAGCTTTGAACTTTCTAAATTATTAAGCGCATTTGTGGACCTCCCTGATGGAGGAGAAATCCCTCATGTTTAGAGGCAAACGTGTTACATAAATTCCTAGGATAAATAGATGGATAGGTGTAACGGCACTGACTTCAACCGATTGCAACTTTATGTGCAACAGAACAAAATGCTACCTGGTCTTGAACTTCCCTCATGATCTCTATGGCTATTGTGCAAGCCTATGTCAGCTAGGGTCTCCCATGCCCTGGCTAGTCCCATATTTATCAACAATATTGCACAGTTGGACAGCATTCTGTTGTGATTCATAAAGTTTTCACTGACTAATTTTTAAAATGAGATCATCAGTCCTTTCTCCATTTTAGTCTGGCAAGTCTGCTGAAACTTGCCCATCGTGAGCAACCTTCCTGGCACTTGCAACACTGGTGGCTTCGTAGGTTATGTTGGGTTCTCTAGAGGAAAACTTCTTAAAGTATAGGTTGTGACCCTATGAAAAATGGGATGTCACAAAATATTTGGCAACGATAAAATGTTTCTGAATGCATAATGACCCAAAATTAATTCTAAACCAAATGCATAAGGAATCTGAGATGTTTCTAGCTGTGCTTTCCCATGTTACAAATATCTCTGGCATACAAGGGGTCACAAGTGAAAAGAGTTTAAGAAGGCTTACTCTAGAGCAGTGAAACCAGTGGCACATATGTATTAGAAGGGACTTTACAGTAAGAGAATGGCCCATACAGTTGCAGGGCGGGCAAGTCCAATCTTGTTCAAGTCTCTGAGTCAGATGCTTTCTAGGCTGGAGGCCCTTCTCCACTTAGGCAGCTGCCCAGGCTGGGGAACCAGGAATCAGGAAGAGGAATCAATCAGCAGGAGCTGAAGAAGGAGAATGAAGCAAGAAGACCATGGTAGTAGATGCAGGGGCAAATCGGCAGGTCAGGTGTCAGGCTCTGGGGGTTCCTAGGGTTGGCAGTCAGTACAGCAGGCTTCTTTCAGCTCCCAGGACCAGGAGGGCACACGGCAGGCTCCTGGCCCAGGTATGAAGAAATAAGATGCAGGATCCAGGCCAACAGGAAGAAAAGGAAAACAGGACTCCATACTGTCTATCTGCACATACAAAGTAGGGTATACACCTCCAAGGTTGTGACCTGAGTAAGGAGTTGCCCCCACCCTAATCTTCCCACAACTGCTT